CCTCTTGTAAGAGTTGAAACAAAATGACTACATGGAGTTCAAAGAAAAATGCCCTCCTTCCATTGTAATTTTTAGGACACTTTGAATTCAGTACAAACATTAGGTCTTCTGAAAACTTTAGACTTCAGGGTTGTGTGGCAAGGCACCAGCTGGAACCCCCATTGAAGGAAATGAGCAAAGGACAGCACAGCTAACTGTATCTGCAGGCACAAAAATAGCCCAGTGCGTGCTGGATTTAAAACTCTTGCGAGTAAATTTTTGAGCAACCCCTGGGCTGACTGTGGGTTTCTGCCTTGGCTTTGCTGACACCAGGATTTCACCTCTGCTCTCCTCCTGTGGCTGGACTCAGCCGTGTTATCGATTCTGGCAGCCAGCAGATGGTTCTGCAGCAGCCTAGGTCTCTAAGTGTTAAGCCTTTTGACTCAGTTACTGCTCTCACTTCTTTCCTGGGTAGGGTTTAGTATCGCAGATTTTCTACCGAGTCTCTGTTCGCTGTGTTCAGTCTCTATATAGAGCTGGGTTGCAAACCATTTACTCATAGCCTTAGAGCTGAGAATCCAGCCCTTCCTGGTTCCTGACCTGAGCCAGCCTGCTTACCTACAAAGTGTGTGTCACAAAGCCTCAGCCGTTCACCTCTGTTGCATCCAGAACTTCTATTTTGAACCAGAGGCTCTCTGGTGGAAGAATATTCTGCCTCGCTTTATTGTCCACTGCTTTGTATTGCTAATTCCTGCTCATTAATATGCATCTCTGCCTTGGTCAGTTTTGATTTCAAAATTGTTTCTTCACACTGAACCTTGTCCCTTTATTGTCATTGTAGAGACTCTTTAAAGTGTTCCTAGCCTACTCTTATGTGTCAGAAAGCAGCAGGGGGCAAACATCTCTTTGCAGCGCAGTCCATACAGCTGAAAAACCCAACAGAGAGGAGGCTAATGCTTTGGCTGAAGCGACCTGTTGCTGCAGTGGAGAAATACGTTTGCATTGAAAGGATCATCACCCATTCATCCAAGCAAGTTAAACAATAGGGACAGAGGGTTTGGTTTTCTCCAATTGTTTCCCAAAGCAAAAATGATTTATGTCTTCTTTCTGAGACTATTGGATGTCTACTGAAGGGTTCATTAGAGAGACCCTTGCAGCTGCCAAAAGAACCGGCTAGATTATTGAGCCTGCAGCTAATATTTTCTGTCTTTGCCTTCTTCCTACAATGAAGAACTAGTTTGCAATCCAGACCTTGTCTGTGCTGTCCCACATGGTGGGGGACTGCTCTGTGCAGCAATACAGAAAAAAGTGCCTGTCCCCAGCCCAAAACACCATCTCTAGCTCGTTGTGATGGCTTATGATGTTAAGCTCTGAAGCACATGGTATGTTCTCTGTGCTGCCTGTAGGGATCACAACAATCACGTGGTCATTTCAGCACTGAATTTTGGCAGCAGTTCGTTTTGCAGTCCTGTGTCCCTTGCAATGGGATCAGCAGAGGAGGCAGAGCCCAGCACTGCCTAGAGGTGCAGGGGGCTCAGTAATCTGACTGTGCCTAGGACTGGTGCAGCTTGCATATTCCACGTGTGCAAAAACAGGCTGCATTGCCCATTCCATTAATGGGGCTGAAAGGCTGCTGGCTTCCTCTTTTGCTAGTAGACTACAGTAGTTGTAAGCCCAGGGGGTTGCTGGCTGCAAAAAAGGCTTCGATGTCATGCAGCCTGGCAGTTAGGCTGACAAGCCCTTAACGTTTCCCAAGGCAATAAATAAGCGTTACAACTTCTGATTAATTGCTGGGAGCCAACCCTTTCTGAGAAGGAGAAGGATAGGACATTATTTCTCTACAAAGCGAAGCAGGAGGATGGTTGACACAGTATAGACAGCAGAGAAGATTTAGGGGTAGCTGTGATGGCATAGTTTATTTGGCCACAGCTTGAAATTGAGCTTAATTTTAAGTAATGCCTTCAGTCTGAAATTAACTAGGAGGAGCTTCTTGCCTTATCCCAGAAAGCTACTGGTAAAAATGTATGATCAAGTGCACTACAGGCTCAAAACTGTGCAAATATGCAGGGATTTATGTACAACACGTGTGTATATTAATGCACAAACTCTATGCAAGTATCCACCTAAATGTAGTCCCAGTTGATCAAAATCCTTGTAGCCCCTGACCTGTGCTGGGAGCTGTGTTGATTAGCACTGGCTGAACATGTGAGCACTAGTGGCATAAATTCCATCAGGCTGTTCTGTAAATTCTTCATCATCTCCTGCACTGATGTCAGTTATTTGCAGTATAAAATCTAATTGAAAACCTGCAAAATTAGATTTAGGGGAAACCGGAGCCTGAAGCACTTTGCTCAGGTGATAATTTCATTTACTGTTAAGACATTGTTTAGACATAAATGTGAATGTGTTCTCTGTTCCTCCATAATACACACACCCAGGCATATAACATCTTCTTTAATTTGATTAAAAAAATGTAATTGTATATGGCTGAGCAACTAGTAGACTAAAATCATTGGATCAACTTTGAGAAATAAACTTAATGTGCAGTGACACTACTGTGTTATAGCACAACATTAAATAGTGTAGAGGCTTCCCAGCTGTCTGCAGGAATCTGTACATTAAAACCTAAAACACAATTTGTTGCCTCTTAGCAAGAGACCTACAGGAAACAGGGTTCTCTAAAGAAAACCTGCAAGCGTAGCATTTACTTACATTACAATGATGGGAGCTTGCCATTTGTCAAAGAGAGTTACAAGCTGATCTTATAACCTAGAAGACTGGTGTCTGATTAGATTTTGTTGCTGTATCCATGAGGGGACAGATCCTCAGCTAGTGGCCACACCAAAGTCAGCTTCAAAGCCTCTGGAGCCAGGTTGGGTTACAGCAGCTGACACATCTGCCATGTAATTAAGCTACTGCAGTGGTCAGGAAGACTTTCAGCTGTAAAATCTTGCTACTCCCAGCCTCAATGGCCTGTTTGATTATACTGTTTTGAATGCACCCAAAAATAGTTTTAAGAAAGGAATTTCTGCCACTGCTTCATCTTTGTATAACATCTATGTTGTTTGTGAAGGTGAGCAGGGGATAACACTGACCCAGCTTTCCCATATCAAGTGTGTCTCTACTGAATTGGTTTCAGTAAGGATTTCCAGCTAGTCTGGTATGCATTAAACGCACACTGCAGTTTCTGGTGAAGTGGCTATGTTTTGGGAACAGAAACATGTCTTCTGCTGCTATAAATTAGTGGGGCTACAGTAATCGCTTGTGATACCAGATGTAGGAATTTGATCATGGGTCGCACAATAGCTGACAGATGGGTTCTGCTGGCTGGCTGGCAGGACTTGAGTTGTTGAAGCCTTCTGCAATAAGAAGGTTTTAAGAAGATTTCTAACTTGTCATGGGCTCTGAACTCGTCGTACAGCTCCTTATTTGCCCTGCCTACATGAGCTGATTTTTTTTTTTTCCCTAAGAAAGGGAGTGTGGAAAGGATTCAATGTCAGGATCAAATTGTTCATTTCTCATTCAACATAGAATTTTGCATGTGAGTAAAAATTTTCTCATTTTCTCATACAGATTTGCTTGTTCTAAATGAGGCCTTCGGCTGATCATGACATTTATTGGCATAGAGAGAATTTATAAGCACTGAGAGAATCTGAAGGAAGAAGTGTCATGCACACACATTAGTGTATTATCTGCAGGGCTTTAAGAAACTGCTAGGGTTTTGCTAGCGTGTTAAAAAAAAAAAAGAAAACACCAGAAAATTGAGAAACTGGGTCATCTGGATTCATTTGCTGCATATCTTTCCAGCTGGGCTTTTGTTGCTGCTCAGACTGGCATATCTGAGCTCACATTGTAGTCACCAGGACTGTGCAGCATCCTACGTGCCTGCTGTCTTTGCCTCCTACACTGATCTTGTTTATATTCCAGGGTGTCTGGAGGGCCCAGATCAAGGTCAGAGTTGTGCTGCAGCTGACTGTGAGCTTGCTTACGAGCCGCCTCTGCCTCAGTGAGGGTACCTGCTAGGTACAAACAGGCACAGGGACACGAGGGGACTTACATAATGTCATGCAGCATATTTATCACAGAGAGGAGAACAGGCAGCTGGGGTGTCCCAGCGCTGTGCCCACCTCCCTGGACTGTTCTGCCTCTCTCCTTATTCTTCTTCAGCTACTTATTTCTCTATTCTTTTATTCTAGACAGCACAACACACAACAGCCTCTCCTATCTAGACTGCTTTTCTCCCTCTTCCCAAAACACTCCTGAAAAATCTGCCAGACCTTCTTTGGGGCAAATGCCAGTTTGGTGGCTGTGTTTAAATTCAGTGTAATCTCATTTTATGGTGAGTAGTGATCAGAAAGGCTAAACTGTGAAGCTGAGATTATAAGCAATAAGTGCTTGTTTGCATAGTGTACTGAACAGAACCGTTCTCTGTCTTATCACATAAATTTTTTTGTGCTGTTAATATGCTTCTATTTTCCTGTACAAAACTTGTATTCTCTGCTGTGGCAAGAAAGTTTCATTTGATCCCAAGTGCCCAATGAGTTTTCTCTCCTATAGTCTGGATTCTTCAGGGAATGAGGCTACTATGGGCTGTGCACATCTTTGTCTATCCTTTCTCCTTCCCCAATAACTTTTGATAAGAGGGATGGAGATCACTAAGGTTTTAAGTTCCTATGAGCTGCATACACAGCAAGGGCTCCTAGGGACGGGGATTCTGTTACCACCCTGCTCTAAGACAAGAGGCTGGGTAACAGATTCACCCCTTATCAAGCTCTTGAGATCCACATAGGAGACTATTAATGTGTCCCAGCTGCAGCAGTTTTGGTCAGAGCACATGCCTTACTCAGCACCAGATAATCCAACTATAAGGCATGATTTCTCCTTGCAAAATGATTTCTTGGCTGATTCAAGTGAACGTTACAGGTATTCCTCCACCTGGGGTCTTCTGTAGAAGATACAGATCAACTGAGCAACAGATGATGCACCAAGCTCAACACATATTTTATGATCTTTTCTTTTAGGTGGAAAAACTGGCAAAGTACTTGGACCCAAATGATTTGGGAAGAATCAATTTTAAGGACTTCTGTCATGGAGTTTTTGCTATCAAAGGTATGTGCATATTTCTTACAAATAATCCACTTCAGTTCCACTAACGTTTCTCTGGTTGCAGAAAATGTAACGATCAAAGACATCCTCTCTTTTGACTGTGGTTATTTGTAGTGACAGTAGGGCAACTCTGGGAATAGCACCAGTATATTTTTCCTTTTTGTGCATCTCAGTATCAATGGTGAGCAATGCTAGAGTTCCTACATCCACAGGTGCTTGTGTATTGGTTTACTGTTAGTTTTTCAGAACAAATGTGATGTGGTTTAAAGACAAATGTAGCAGAATAAAGAGTAGCTTTGTGGTTAGCAGGCAGTGCCAAAGTCTGATACTTCCAGGTTCTCATCTGGTTCTACTGTTAATTTACCTAGGGAAGTTAGAGAGCCCTTGGGCTTCAGTTTCTCTACTAGGAAATTTAAGATGATTATACTTTTCTTGAGGTATCTGCAAGGTATAGTTAATTCATGTTTTCAAAGTACTTGGGGACATGTATTGGAATTACAGGTTGGCCATGCAAGCCCGGAAGATAGAGACCAGGTAGATCAAACCATGTCTTTTGCAAGGAAACACAGTCCTTGACAGAAGACATAGATGTTACTATGCTTTATAGCTTAGCCAAAGGGCAACGAAGCAAACAGTGAAGCGAGACTTTAGCTGTTTTGCTGCTGATTAGTTTTCTAGCTTCCCATAGCAAAATAATCCAGCCTGTCCTTTTCTGGACACATAGTGTGTCCTTAGTAAAGTGCCAGAGTGCTGTCACAGCCCAGAGGCTTCACTTCAGGGACAAGGTGAATGTCACAGCGATAGTAGTGTGGTTCCAGGATGAGCCTCTGGAGAGTCTGCTACGATGAGATTATTACAAAGCCATAATGATGCAAGAATGTAACACCGCAGCAATTTTAATTAAAGTTTATGGCAGCTGAGGACAGTGTATAATTATGTAAAATTACAGCGAGAAGCTGCTCTCAGTCCATGTTCATGGAGACACCTTCCAAGGTGATACTGGTGTGTTTGAAGAGAAGGCAATAGAAAGCCCAGAAGGAAAGTTAATACATTAGTGTATAGACATTAAAGTCTATACTAGAGGTTTTCCTTGTCCAGGAAATGCTGTAGCAAACTGGGTTCTGGGTTAAATAAGACACAAGCTCTGTAAATCATCTGGTAGTCCTCTGTAATTCGCAGTCTAAAGATGTACACAAATGCACAAAATATGATCAGAAAGCGATAGATGTGACCCAGAAGAACATCTCTTCTGTAATAACTGTGCCCTTGTCCACAGTGGGCAGTACCCTCAGTGAAGGAGTGGGCAGCTACGTTTCCTTTACTGTGAGGGACAGTGTGTGCATATTGACAGTTACTGGGGAGTGATGATGCCTTGGGAGTTTTCATCCTTGCTCATCTTGTGGGAACTGATCCATGTATTCATATCCTAAGGTCTAATCCTGCAAAGACGTGACTGAATCAGGCTCTCTGGAATACCTTGTACTCCAAGTTTATGGGTAGCTTAAAGCCCTTATGTGAAGCATAGGCAGGGTGCAAATCATATGCTTGATGTGTATTGGTATGTATATGTGAACAGATACAGAAATCATCCAATTCTGCAGCATCACCTAGAGCTCTCTTAGCACGTCATTAGCATTGTCAACACTTACACAGTGTCAGTGCCAAGCGTGTATAATCGCAGGAGCAGTTGCGTCTATTTCTGATAAGACATTGTTATGAAAGCTTTCACAGCATCTCTTTAGAAAAGCTGGTTTGATTGCTCACCTCACAGCATGGAAGTTTTATTGGTCTTTAGCTACCAGCCATACTTTTCTTAAAAATAAACTTGGTCATATTAAAGTTCAGAAAGGGTATGTCTACCTTTCAGAAGGGAAAGCCTCCACTATGTTGTTACCTCTCACTTTTCAGTGCAGCCACATCCCAGGGGTAGCAGGAGGCTTGTTATCAAACAAAAGCTATTTGTCTTGGCAGCAACAGATTATAAATACGATTCTCTGACATCTCAGCCTATTGCAATTGCTTGGGGCAATCAGATTAATAGAGCAAAATGAGATCCTACTATAAATCCTGCTTTTTTTTTCAGTAATGGAGTATGAAGCCGTGTTATTCTTAGCACTGGAAGCCAAATGTTTAAATTCAAGCTTTACTATCCTAATGCCTTGCCGTATTTCTTATTTATGAGACTTCAGATTAATTTGTCTCATATATGCTTGCCTTTATAGTATGCTGAAGAAATTTTTTGCTGCACAGAGGTGATACAGTGGTTTTTTGGTAGTTCAGTGCCTTGAATTTGTTTAAAGCATGAGGTTTGAAGCATCTAGCACAACAGATTCAAATCTCAGTGGTAAAGAATTGACCTCTGATGACATTGATTTGAGCATTTCAGATCCAGGTATGGATCTTAGCAAAAACTAAATGTTGGAACCTGAAAAAATCCCAAACATCGGAGTGTTCAATGTCTGCTCTGTAACTGGTTGGTAGCAGCTCTCACTGCAAGGAGAAACCCCAAACCCTGGATCTAAAATCTGCAGCTTGGCCTCTCTCCTCCATAAACCAGGGCATTGTTCACTCTTGCATGGTACAAATGAAAAGTGTTGTGTTCCTTTACAAGTGGACATCAAGCCTTGCCTCCTCCTTAGTGCTTCTGGGCTGGATAAACCTCATGACATATGAGTCATGTACCTCCACAGCAGCTGCTGGGACTATCAGGTGGAAAGGGCAATTAATCTTCAGCTGCTGAGTAGCAGGAACTGTGGGGAAGGATGTGCTGAGGAGTCTCATTAACAGCAGGGACCTTTGGAAGTGATGGAGAGGACTTTTTCAGGCAGAGGTATCTGTGCTAGAGGGGAGAAGTGCGTGGGAGGATCTCATTCCCACTGTGTCCCTGGGGTGGAATACTGGACAGGCAGGGTGCTTTCTATTTATGGAAAGCTTTGCTTCTTTTTCCCGGTCCTTTGTGGATTAAAGGACTTTGCCTCAGCATCTGTGCTGAGCCCCTGCTGTCTAGGCTGCTTTCCCCACGCAATTAGGCTCTGCCAGAGCCAGGGACAGGCTTGCCATCAAATTTAAAGCTTTGCAGCAATTTCATCGGAATGCCAGAATATGAA